AACCAGCAAAGGTCTAAATAACTCAAACAACATTGTTATTTTCTTTATTAACTTCACTTGATACATACTGTAAAATATTTCCCTTATAGAAGTTTCTTTCCTATTTATTTGTTATATATATTATTAGTTCTTTAGTATTTTTTTTTTCTCAATATACATGTCAATACTAAATTACGCTCTTAAACCTACAAAATGGCAACAAAATACTGGGAGCTAGCTCGAAAACCTAACGGTTTATTTAGCTCTCAGGCTTATCGTCTACATAGTAACCTTTCTCTATTTATAAAGTAACCTTCAAATTTTATATGTATCACGAACGTAAAGAGCAATAAAGATACTATTCACGTAGGTGAGTTGATCGTTATGTAAATAAATAATTCCTTTTCAGTGGGGTTGGGTAATAAATGAAGAGTACATATTTCTAATGTCAAGTACGATTTCAGTGCTCCTCCTTAATCCATACCTTTAAAGCATCTTGCAGCAATACCAAAGCAAAGATGACGAAAGCTTCCTGTCCATGGAAACAGCATGACGTAATACCTATTTAGAGTTATCCACTCAAGCTGTTGTACTGGAATCTGTCTTCCAATGCCAATACCGATCACAAGTGCTTCGATATCTCTGAGGTTTTTTGCAGCAAGTTCCAATTCATTCTGAGACTGTGCTGAACCCGTGTCCATCATTACAACAACAATCTTYCTTGCGTTTGGTCGTGAACCTGGTCCTTGTAACATTGCTTTTGCATTTCCAAGCGCAGCTTTCAGATCAGATGAACCAGCGATGTTGTTGGAGGCATCGATTGACGTCTTCAAAGTAGCTTTATTCATACTGGCAGTAGTCTGGAAGTTAAAGACATCGTTGACAGTACTACCAAAGACGATCAGGCCGTACCTGATATACGTATTACCATATTGCGTCACAAATTCTTTAGCTGTGTTTTTCATGAACGTAAAAGCTGCATTTGCGTCTGCTAYGATGGTAGAAGTTGAACTGAACAGAAACACAAGATCGATATCGGGAATACCTGAAAATATTTGAATTGTTAGCACATCAACGATAAAATAATCTAGARCCTTGTGTAAGATTTAAAATCGTACTCGGGCAGCTATCCTGTAACAAGGATTTATATAACCTTATTTACTTAAAAACATATGTTTCAACCTCATATGAATCATCTAGAATAAATACTTTTCTAAAAGTTGGTATTTTCTTCGATTTGTACACAGAATTTTGTACTTAATGATTTTTGTGTTTATATCTAAATTCTTCTGGTGGAATTCCTGTTTTACTGCGMATGATTAGGAAGAACTGACATCAAATACGCATGTTGAGGTAGAAAAATCCGGTGTTCACAAACGTCGAGGTTTGAAATAAAAAAAAAGGTGCTCCAATTGCAAATAGTTTCTATTTCATAGAAAATTTATATAATGATTTAGTTTTTGAAAAAGAAAGTAAATAAATATTACCAGGAAAAAGCACGATTTGGGGAATTAAATGTTTACATGAATTAATGGATTACCTTTAACACATCCATTTACGTCAATTCTTAAATTGTGTGAACCAGGCTTTACTCCTGGATCTGGTTCAATTGGAACAAATCTGAAGTAACGTGCAGTTATGACGCTTCCAAGATTAACCACGTTAATTGCCTGACTTGGTGCAGGTGGCGGGTGATTCCCATAGTATGGCTGTGAAAATAAATATGATAGTGTGGTAAGTGCATTCGTACTTTTACATTCAAAAACCCTCATTATTTCCTTGATCTAAGGCAGTTAGCAAATTACATGACACAAGTAAGATGAAGATGCTTACATTGCAGGATGCAGGTGCTAGTGGTTTCCTTCTACAGTCGTATGTTATTCCATCGTAGCTGTACTGAATTGTCATCTGATTTGTTTGTTCTGCTGCTGCAGGGTCTCCTGACCACACCACCTGACTGACACTGTAGTTTTCACCTAAAAAAAAAACACGAGACAGCATTTTTATTTAATTTTCTCCAAGTGCGTTTTGCATAATCGTTTTGAAACTTTACTCTCTTTTTACATTGTTGAAAACACACACAAAGTTTAGGAAATCATCAAATAAATAGTTCTTAAACCTTTGTTTGCCAGTTTGACCACCATAGACGCCACGTATAAAAACCCTCATTAGTAAACTACTATATATAGATCGAATCCTGCTTGTCTATTCAGCACTACGTCATCAAACAGATCAAAGACATGGGCCACCTCCAAGGATTAGGCAAATTAGCATTTAAGGTGATTCAAACTTACTGACTTTACTTACCTAAATCAACCGTCAAGGAGTTCCTAAAGCTAAGGTTGGTCGGCTTCCATGGTTCTCCAGAAATTAAGGGACGGCCAGGGTCCCCGGATGTAGCATTGAATGAAATACTGGAGTTTTCCAACAAGTAGTTGTCCACCAAGGAACCACAACCAACTGGAAAAAAAAAATAATTCCCTTAAAACATAATTAAAAAGATGGGGGATAGAAGAGATATTAGATTAGTAATAATACTTATGACGTCTAGTTCTGATAATCGTCCTTTTTTTACAAAGCTAACACTTTTAAGTAACAAAAAAGGATAATAGCTAGTGGCTGACGAAGCTGCAGCCCTCATTCCATTATTAGAATTTTAAAGATGATGATTTTTGCGGAGAGAAAAGAACCTGGCCAAAATCCTCAAAGCACAGGAGAGAACCAGCAATGAATCAGCTCTACTTATTTTTTATTTCAAAGTTTTAATAACAAGTAATAGTTGCGAGTTTTTTTAGGAGGATCAAGATTAGATGCGCACGCAAGTGTCAGTTCAAAACACCACTTTCCTTGTACTGAACTATATTTGTAAATTTTTCACTAAGTCTCGTTTCTGCTCCATATGCGAAATTGATCCCTATTAATTTATTATTTTTGGTTTCTATTTTCTCTCTTTTAGTAAATTAGTTTAAAACTTAAAAAACGTCTTGTACTTTGAAAACGTCGAACTAAAAGTTATTAAACAATGCTGACGTCACACATTCCCTTGACGTAGGTTCTAGTTCGTTCTCGTTATTGACCAAGCTTAAATCTTCCCATTAATCATTGCATAACATGCCAAATCAATATATTAATCAAGTCAATAACGATAAGTGAAGGAATTTTTTTGCAAGTATGCACAATTTTTTTCGGTAGATTATTCTCGAAAGAAGAACCATTTTTTAATTAGACAAATAGTATTTTACAAAGTGGGAAATTAAAATCTGTGAAATTATGAATAAACTGGTTATGTAATCATGATACGATTATTACAAAAATTTTTATGTTGTTTTATCAGTTTTTAGTGAATATCGGAGGCTGTTCTGAACATTTTATTGTAGCAAACTTCATTGCGTGAGCCACTATAAGTAGCCTTGAAGCAGCGTGGAAACTTGGATAGTTTCAGAGCAACAGCCCGACACCAGCGTAAAAACCTAGCATCCTCATTAAAACAGCTACCGATTGATATCACTAATAGGAAAAGAAATCTTAGCAATATAATAAATTCAAAAAATAAGTTATAGTCTGAATATTGAAAACATTTAGCGTATTGTTCTGTATTTTAGACCTGAAAAAAGTTATACTTAGATCTGATAAAAGTTAAACCCAAATTTGGCCTCTAAAAAGTTGGACTGCTGGGTGACTTCTTTTATGCAATATACTACGCAGGAATTGAATTCAGCTATCGTAGGACAACCCTTTTTGATAATTTTTCGGAAAAAATCAATATTGGGAACTCTTTATTACAAAAAACCAAGGTTTAATTAAGGCTTAATTTGGCCTACAGTCTCTCGGTTTCCTGTTTCCTGTCACTAACCATAGGCAATATATTTTCACAGCTTTTTGAAATTTTAAAAATTTTATGCCTAATACGTGAAAATCAAATTTTGCTTGAGAAAACTTTGCCAGAAGATTTGGAACTATTTCAGTTCTGTTTAAATTGCCAGAGGCTGCACAAAGTATGTTAGAAAAAGGAAAATTTTTATTGTTATTCGCTTCGATGCCGTGGACTTAATAAATTAATTGGTTTTACATCGATTGCAATACTTTGAGCCATTTCTAACGACCTTGGACGATATGGCGAAACACGAAAATCAAAATTGATTACTGAACAAATTTATGATATCTCTAAATAGCAATGTTTAAGCTGGCGTATTGTGAAAAGAAAAATAGACAAAGAATAAAACCAGCTAATGAAAAYGTTGGTACTTACCTTCGTTGAGATCATATTCAGCTTTAACTTTGTTAAATAAAAAAATAAATGAAAGAAAAAAGGCTGCGGCAAGCAGCTTCATTTTGGTGTGAGTATCTGAAGGTTTCATTCCTTCACACGACCAAGGAGGTTTCTGAGCTAAACATTATGTTCCTTTGCAATATCAAAGTAACTTAATTAACGTCATTACTGTGAAGTAATGAGCTCTGATTGGTTAATACTGACATTGGAATTAACTCATTTATTAACCCTGGTAGTGGCATGCATGACTGATCCGGTACGTCTTCACCTAATTTTATTTTGGTTCCTGGGATAGCTATAAAATATCGAAAAATTAGGTTTATTACTTCTCCACGGCTTACAGGCTCCTGTAAAATTAACTAAAGATATGTAGAATTGCCATACCTTGGTGGTGAGGTTTTTAAGCTACTAACCTTTTCAGGGCGTTGGATAGCTGTTTTGGAACCAGTGACGTTTGTGGCATCAATGCTACAAATCTAGATCATTCGAAGTCTTCTCACGGTGTGCAATTGATCATGCTAAGCTAAACCTTGCTATTAGGACCAGTTTTTTAAAGTAAAAACCCCTAATTAAGCAATAGAACTGAATTGGTTTTAAGGAACTATTCCTTTAATTGAATGCTAATAAAATTGAGAGTGCAGCTCTTGGTCGGCAAGTATACTAAATGGGTGCCTAAATGAAGAGAACACATTTCGTTTTTTAAGTTAAATTCAAATGGTAATCTTTGCAATCGACGAATCATTGCTCTTTAAATTCTGCCAGAGCATTATAGCTAATGAATTAAATAAAAACCTTTAGCAAATGAGACAAGTAACTTAACAGTTTGAATAAAATATCAAATGAAAGCAAAAGTTGTGCTCAAAGTCACCGACAATAACCATGACTTGTTTCAGTGTGTACAACGTAAGATTAAAAAATTCCCATGATTTTGTTCCAGAATTATTTAAAATAACAGGTTTTATTTCCAATTAATGATTACCATTTCAAACAATTTTAGTTAGTACTGTAGACTTAAATAGATTCACAAGAACTAGATAAAAGGCAAATGGCTAATTATGAGCAATAAGTGTCACAATATTGTTCTCAAGTATTTGAGGGGGGGAAAAAACACCTCTTTTTTTAAGTTCTTTCCACAAATCATTCGAGATTTTTTTAATAAGTGGTGTGATTCAGTATATTTATCTTGTGCTTGCCTTTAAAGAGAGTGATTCCCAATCATAAATATCACATTTCATAAGACGCCAAAGAATAAAAGTTGACAGCTATTTTTCTTCCAACTTCATTAGATGTTCAGCTTGGTTGAGTCTTCAAGTACTATAATTGTAGTCAATTGATGGTGTTTAAAATCATAATAGGTCATAAATGACATAGATAATTTACGACCTGGATAAGCTAACACTCTGATTTGCTCCGTACGTGCCGAAGCTTCTATGGATTCTGTGCTTACGTTATTCATCCCTTGCTTGACACATTTGGGGTAGATCTAGAAAAATTTGATACTATATTTAAGAAAAGCAAATGACTTTGTCCTAATGATCTGCATACCAAAACTGCTGAGTCATCATGAGAAAAATAAATGATTGCACCATTAAAAGGAAATTTTGTATCGAGGACATGGTCATTAGTTACTTTGGGCATGTGGAAGTTTATTGAAGACTATTCTTAAAAATTAACATGAATATAAGAATGAACGGACGTATCTACATAAAAAAGGAATCTTTTGTCCAATAATGTGGCTATTATTTAAAGCCAATGTCTACTGACACTGAATCTAACTCATGTATAAAAAGTATAAAAACTATCCTATTATAGAAAAATACCAAATATCTAACCCACTCACTCTTCGAAGGGATAGTCCTTTTTACCAATGTGATTTTTTGGAATAGCATAATAGTAAAGTTGATTCAGTAAAGTGAAGACAATAAACTATAAATAGTGAGAGCTAAATAGCACTATTAAAAAACTGAGCAAAGTATTTAGGAATATATATATATCGTACTATTTAGTTGAAATACCTCTTAAGTTTTACTTGTTTACTCTTTATGTTATGAGCACAATATTAAGAAAGAACTGCACTATTTAAAATCAATAAATGCATAAAAATTAATTTATGTTTCCAACTGAAAGCCCCATTCGTGATATTGTTCGTTTTATTCTAGTATTTACGGGAACATTCCATTCTTCTCGACTGGTCTGCCCTAGAAATAAATCTGAAAACGGAACTTTTTAACTTCAAATATTACACTTTCCACATAAATATCTATTAGGATTTCAACCAAATTATCTATGCATACTCAAGCCAAAAATGAAATTAAAAAATAATCTTTGATTCAATGGCCAGTTGACTTAAAGCTTTTTGACCCCTTTTTCTCACGGAGGTTAGAATCTTTTGAGCCGGAACTAATTCAGCGCCTTTAGGGGATTTATGCTCAAGAGCTTGATCCGCATCATAAAAATAATTATATTTCGATTATATCGTTCAGCCTGATCATTATTGACGGTAGGATGTCTACAAAAAAAACTTCAAACCTTTTGTAAAGGTTTTTTCCTTCTATTTTTCAATGGCCAATTATGGTAAAAAAAAGTGTTAGTAAAGGTCCAGCATACGTTTTCAAATACTGTGACAATGTTTTAACGCTTTGTGGAGCACCTCTTTCCTTTCGTGGTGGTGGTTGCAGAAGAGAGTCATTATTCGATACAGCTCTTCCTAGGATGACGTTCGTGCACTTAGCACAGACTTAGCACTTCTTTCTCTTCGGCCTCATGCTTTTGTGATCCAGATAAGTAATCAATAATCTATAAATAGAGATTGTATAGCGAGTAAATACCATACATATATGGCTCTCCTAGGACCACTAGTTTATCCGTTGATACACCTTCTTTGTGGTGATACGTTTACTAAGTATTTTAATGACCTATTCCACTGCCTCAATTGCGTATCTTCGATCCCTCTCCGTCTTCTTCTGGTCCTTGTCCTCTTGTCCTCTTCGTCCATCCCATTCTTCTCCTTCTACCCTCTATCTCTTGCTCGTCCGGAAAATCTAGTGCCGTTGAATTCCGCAGGCTGCGAAAAAAGATCTTACTCCAGCCCATACAGTGTTAGCTATGTATTGATGGTATATCCGTCGCCGTCCCCTTTTTAGAGCGCTTTCTATGTTTGGGATTGTATAGAACTAATCGTCGAATGTATTTCGCAGTGGTTGTTGTTTTACAGCTTCATACACCGCTTCATTGTTAACATCTCCTCCTTTCCTCCTCCTCATTCCTCTACCTGACTCTCCTGCTTATCCTTCATCGTCTCTCCTCTCTTCCCCTCAACCCAACCCACCCGCCCGCCCATCATTTCCCTTCTCCTCTTCCTTCTTTTTTTTTTCTTTGTTTTTTGCTCCCCCATCTTGATCTCCGCTACTTGTATTGCTCTCATTACTCTTCTCCTCCATTTGCTCTAGCTACGATGCAGCTCATTAAATGGTTATCTCGTCCTTCCCAACTCAAAAGCAACACTATAAGTAACACGACTCGTAATCGTACGACTTACCATCATACGGCAAATGAATAAATTAAAGAATGAAAAACAAGATGTGATTTCTTAATAAGAATAAGCTAGAGGTAAAAGTTACCCATCCAATTACTAGCCAGCCCAACTTAAATTGGACCGACTCATCGTCTTCGAAAAGAAAGTTCATTCTTTAAGGTGACTGCCTACTTTTGGAAATTGATTTAAGCTTTTTTTAAAACTTCGATTT